ATGATATAGCCTTTTGGTCACGCAAATGTTCATTAGGTGATATATGGCAAAGTTTGGTCTTGACAATCCTGTTCTTTTCTGAAATAATGGAAAAAGTCCTAAAATATACAATTCCTCATAAAGCTCCAAAACAAAAAATGATGTTTCATCATAGGGGGGCTGGACCTGATGATCTTATGAGGTCCCTTCCAGCCCTAAACTTCTGTGAATCACAGACTTGGTATTATGACTGCTGCTGCTACTACCTCATTAGGCCTGTCTCTTGTTTTGTGTATTTGCTAAAAGTTATCCTCTGTCACAAAACATATAATAGTGCGCATATGAGCTGGATGAGACCAAAGATAAAATGAAAGGCTACAGTGGCCATTTCTACAGAACTTTTTTTCTGGGAACATTTGCAGTTTATCATAATACCTGGGGAAAAAATGGTGTCAGTTCTACCCTTAAGAGGTAAATCAAGCAATGTTGCCCAATGCATATATTTGAAGCATAGTCTGTGCAGTCTAAGGGCATCTTAGAAAATGCTATCAATGTGGCCTCAGAAGTGTCTAATTTAGTTTTAAATGCCTAGAGCAAAGAAGAGGTGCAGATACCATGAGAAGTGCTACCCTGAGGTGTGTACCTTATTGGACCTATACAGCATCGATCACCTTGATGTCTAAGCAGACTACTTTCTTTACCCTATAGTCTTTGCCAGCACAAGCTAAACAGCCTTGAACTAAATCCATAGTTCTATATAGGTAGCATTTTTGTAGGAGGCACTCTTCCTTCTGAGTCAGTGCTCAGTGATGTTAGAGTGCTAAGAATGTGATAATTCACTGATGGACAAGTTCCAGTAGTATGGAATATACATACAGATACTGACAACTACTTACCATTGTCTGGTACAATAAATATTGGTGCTCAGAAACTAGCACCTGGCAGACTGGAACAGTGCCAGTTGTCTTTTGACACATGAATCACTGACCACCCGAATGATGATTCTCATAACAGTGACGGGATTAATAGCATGTCCCTCTGCTTCATTTACATTATCATCATTCTACCAGACATGGTTTCATGAATGTATGTGGAATACATGGATTTATTAGAAGCAGCAGGTCCAAAATGATCCAAAAGTCAGTTCCTATGCAGGATATAATAGATCCTGGATCTAACTGTTGTGAGAACCTTAGGTGAAATTAAGAGAGGCAATGCTCAGTAGAACCTACCTATACTTGTTTTTTGAGAAAATGGGCTGAAAATTCCAATAGACAAGTCATGTGCTATGGCAATTCTCACATCCAGGTCACTAATTTAATTCCATTTTTGGTTGACAGTGACTGAAAGTTATCATCTGATGACTATTCAGAAGCTCAAGGATAGAGGGGTCTGAATGAAATTCCTGGGTGTTGGTGTTCACAGCCCCAATACGATGACAGGCACCACCACACCATAAACTCATCACTACTGTAGATACTATGTGACACCACCATTGAGAGACTCAGTGGAGAGGCTCAAAAGCTAAACAGACAAGTTCGAATTATCATTCTCAGTAAGTGGATGGTTTCAGTCTCCATGTGATAATTTCAAGACAAATGCAAACTCGTACTGCAAATATGATTTGAAGGGTCTTGTAACATGTGACTTGTGACAATGTATTTAGGGCACAAGATATACTTGATTCCTATAAGCTACTCTAGAGATGCAGATGGAGCAGAGAAAAGATGTAATTCTCCCGCTAGTTTGAGGGAAAGGGCATTCCTACAGGTTCCACCCTACTTCCAAAGCTGGAGACTGAATGGCCCTTATGTAGCCTGTTTTGATGATTTGGGCAGTCCCCAGTGGCTGCAGCAGGGAGCTAGACCTGGACTCCATGCTGGTAAGTAGGGGGCAGGGGAGGGGAGGCTGGAGGAGGGGGAAGCAGACCATGGGGGGACCCCTGCTAGGCCTCATCCCCTGCCTGCTCCCCCAACCCCCGCCCACTCCCCCAGCCCTCCCATGGGTGCCCTGCCCACCCCAGATCCCAGTGCTTTAAGAAAAAGCCCTCACTCACCAGGTGCTGCCAGAGGGGGGAGGCAATCCCTGCTGCCCCCCACTGCCCTATGATGCATAGGAGGCTCCGCCCTAAGCGGAAGAGCCCCCTACATGGTGTGGGGCAGCAGGGGGGCAGCCATGATCGCCCTCCACTGGCCAGGAACCAGTGAGTTCAGGCTTTTTTTTTTCCCTTAAAGGGCTGGAGCTGGAATGGGCAGGGAACCCATGGTGGGGCTGGGGGAGCAAGGAGGGGTTGGGGGACTCGTGAAGAGCCCTCCATGCAGCGTGGGGTAGTGAGGAGCAGCAGGGATTGCACACCCCCGCCCCTCGCATCTGCTGAGTCAGGGCTTTTTTTTAAAAAGTGCCAGGAGCTAGGGCCAGTGGGGCAGCCACTGCAGGGCTGGCAGAGCAGGCAGGGGATGTGCCTGTGTGATTCGGAGATTCAGCAGCAGCCGACTCTCCAAATCAGATTCAGGTGAATCAATCTGGGACAGTGATTCAAATCACCGAAATGAATCACCATCCCCTGAATCGGCCAAATCCAAAACGAATACTAGCCACTTCGCACAGGCCTAATATCTAATATAGTGTTTGTTGCCCCTGGCCCAACTGCCTCTCCTTGCTGCTGCATACTACATAGCTATTTCATACCCCAGAACCAGAACAATGTTAAAATGGCTGGTAATCTAAATGCATATGGCATACGGCCCCCACCATAGCTGTTGATGCAGAAAGGGTTAACACAGATGCACACATTTCCAGCCCTTGAGCATCATTAACATTTTGTATCAATACCGCAAAGTTCTGTGGTGAGAATAATAGGATTGGTCCGTGGCTGCTCTGAACTGCCCTTGTTGGATAAATACATAATACATCCTGGCAAAGGTCTGGTAGGGACTTTAATCAATTCCCTTTCTCAGGAACATAAATGTTACATCAGACGTAAGCCATGTTACCTGCCCTGGGGGGCTCTAGTCCCTTTGCTGCGTAGGCCTGACATGGGCACTAACACGAAAGAGAGCTAGGCCTGTGCATGGTAGACTCTTACCAGTTTGTAGTACAGTTTGTAGTAATGGAGTCATTATAGGTTTAGGACATCTTATGACAAAAGAAAAATGGAAAAGAAAAGAAATATGGGGATACGGTCAGCATGATGGATTGCCTCAAATACCTCTGCATGTGAGCTGGCAATGCCACACCACCTTGGACAGTAATCACATCATATCAAATCAATCACATCAAAAAAGGACTACTCTTCTTGTGGCATGTTTCAGGAAGCTCTTTTACAGTCATTTCTTTTACCACTGAACAAGGTATTGGATGTGGGTTTACAAGGCTTGATCTACATACAATATTTCTCCTGGAAGAACTCAAGTTCTACTGGCAAAACCTTGACTGTCTTTAACTTCATAACTCCTCTGGGGTGGCAGAATCCCCCCTCTCCTGATTTTCTGACAGCAGAGTTACACTGTCTATGCTGAGCAGAGTGACTTCTGCTGCCCTGTACACATGCCTGATTCTCCCATATCTTCTGTTAGCTTTAGTGGCCCCTTCATCAGCGGCTGCTTCTCAGGGTGCATGCCATGCTCTGGGTGTGCAGCTGCTGTAGTGGAGCTGTGTGGCACACCAGAAGCACACATCTATCCCTGTGCTCTGCCAGCTTGGACGTAGCAGCTGGGACCTCCGCCAGTTGAACATGTAAGCATGGACAAGGCCCTAGACTAACATGAAGAATACCCCAAGACTAGGGATGTTTGGATCTGGAATTTTAGGTCCTAATTTTCAGGTGCCCAATAACTTGGAATTTCCACTTTAAGACATTATGGACCTCATCATCAGGTGCGATTTGATGGAATCAGTGGAAACTGGATCGTCTCAATACTTCTGAAAATCAGTTCCGTGGGGTCTCAAAAGTTGGGCATCCAAAACCGAGGGGCACAAAATGTTAGCGGACACTTTAGAAAATGTTTGCTTTAGTTCCAGCCCATCTCAAATGATCCATTAGTACTGCAATGCATCAGCAGTCCTAAGCTTCCTTGTATACAGCAATAAAAACTCTTACTATTTTAGAGACTCCATTGATTTTACACAATCAATGTGTGTTATGAAACAGGAGGAAAATGTAAACTTTTTTAAATTAAAAAAAAAAACAACTTACTAGAAACTTGGCAAAATGAAGAAAAAGGCATGAGAATTCTACATTTCTGTCTGATCTAGATGTTAAGAAACAAGTCCCTGGATTAAAGCAGTATTTTTTCAGGGAAAAAAACCATTGAGTTGACAACTTATATACCAACAGCCAAGCAGAAGTGAATCAAACAGGAAAGAAAAAACCCAGGCAGAACATGGGTTTGCAAAGGAAACCAGTGATAGATTTTTAACTCTAGCACTGTTGGGGCCATGAACAGTAAGCATATTATTACACATACCAAAGTTAAGTGAGAACAATGTTAACACCAGGTTGGATGCATTGGTATTAATATAAATGGTACTGGTTCACACAATGCTGCCAGTCCTACTGTGGTATGGGTTTCAGATTAGGGGGTTGCAGCCCAATAAGTACAGGTCAAAAAACCTAGTGGAAAGGTTTTCTATGCTTGCTGCAGCCCTGCACTGTGTTTTGTGCAGAATGAGAGCTTGAAAGGCATATTACCCACTAGGGCTGGCTGTACCCATACCGGACAGGAATGTTCCATCCACTGCCTCCCTAACTTCATCCAGAAATACACACGTTCATTCTGCAGGTGTTTCCAATTCTTCCCATCACACCACAGCACTGGATTATTCTGAGACCCACAGACTGATGCTGCCCAGAAGCTTGGGCAGACAGCTGGGTTAGAATACTAATATATGCTTATAAGGGAGCGTGACAGCCAGAGGGACCCATAAAACACTTCACAGGGGGGCTCCAGCTCTCCTTGAATGAACTCCAAATAAAATACATGAATCATGTCATGGAGCGGTCTAAAATGCCTAGTACTTACGTGACAGACTGGAGAGGTACCTTCAGGAGAAGACCGCAAATTGATCTCAAGGATCTGAAAAGGAGTAAAGAGAAAAAACAACATGAAGAAATAAAGCAGCTATAAGCGAGCCAAATTATATCACTGGTGATTCCTGTAGGAAAGAAAAGACTTTTCACTTTATGGACCTTGCAAGCTCCCAAATTACCTGAGCAAAGGTACTGGATATCTCAGGGAACTGGAAATGGGAAAAGGAGCCTTCCTGTCTAAGATGTCAGTTTGAATTCAACCCAAGCTGGCAGAGACTAAATGATGTTACCATTTGGTGCTGTTCAGTTACTTATGTGACATATGTTGCAGTCTCAGTGGAAAGGTGTTCTTGTTACAAAACCTACCATTGTAATCGGCACTAACCGGCCTCCTGGTTAGTGTCCTCGGAAGAAAGGCTAGGGATTAAATTGGCCAGAGAAACATGACTTCCTGTCTAGGATGCAGCTGTAGTTCTTTCAGGTTCCAGGCATGCTACGGGGACTCGGTGGGAAGGAAGTTTGCTCTCGAGCTGCTAAGTCTGTCACTAAACTGTGGCATGCAAGTCCCTTCTTTAAGATCAGAAACTTTGGGCTCTAGGACTGACTTGTTATGTATATACTCAGGGGAAAGCGGGATCACTGCTTCTAAGGAGACCGTCTGGAAAAACTATAGCCTCCTAGTAGTTGAATGCTTTAGCTGTCAACAGACACTGTGTATAAGGGCATCATTTTGACACTGTAATGTCCAGTCATTTTCACAGCAGAGGTACAGGAAATAAAGAAGTACTCCTGAGAAGGTTACCAAGCATGCTAATAACTACTACTGAGTAACTGTATAGATGGCATGTCCCTACTGTAGCGCACTACTTTATGGAAACTGTAGTTTGGAAGATTAACGTACCCATTTTCTCATCATCTCATTCCTTTAAATGGAAGGTTTGCAGAGCAGAGAAGTCAAATGAATTTTAAATTTAAATTAATGGTGCCATGTAAAGGAAGAAGAGGTCTTTGGAAAGAGATCTTTCTGCTGTCAGCAGAAGTAGCAATGTTTATTTAACAATTATTAGTCAACAAAGGATTTTACAGAACTGGATGATCTACTATTACAGAGCCATGTCCTGAAACATTGTTCCAAGGAGATCTTTACTCCTGTATTCCTGAATGTATGTCAAGCTCTATATTCAGGAATAAGAAGCATGGCAGGGATGAAAATGGGGTGAAAGGCTGGTATTAAGAGGGAAGATGGAGAAGTAAGGTAAGTGTGTAGCAAATTGTGGGCCTAGGAGACTAGAATAAGAATGGCTATGAATGTGTGGAAGTATGCACACACATATTTGAGCATGTGGCCAAAAAGGCAGGTAACTGAGAAAGTGAAAAGGAATAGGCACAGAGAATTCCAGGAAACAAAACATTCAGAAAAACAATGGACCAGCCAACAAGCTGTAGACAACTTCCGCAGGGTCAGCTACCCAAGAAAGAGCTACAGGAGGCCTTATTTAGCAGGATTCTCCTCTGCATGTGTGAGAGATGCCAACCACTGTCACATGTGAGAAGAACTTGACAGACAGCAGACAGAAAGGCTGAAGAACCGCAGATTCACAAACCAGCTAGGGGTATGTGAATCTCAGGGCTTCTGTTACTTTTAAGGACTTGTAATTGTCAAGAGCTTTAATAGTAAAGTGTTTGTGGGTAAGCAACTCTTTGGCTATGCTTGTGTTCCTTGCTTTGCAACCAAGCTGTCCCTTAAGGGTTTAAAGGAAAAGTCCAGAGGGCCTCCAGTCTAGGGGAAGTTGTGAGAGTATATGTGTGTATGTTCATGCCTTGGAGGGTTGGCAGGTGTGAGACACTGGTTGGGAGGTGTGAGACACTGGTTTTAGTCTGTGGCAACTGGATAGTAGCACACCGCTTCCGAAGGGAAGGGTCTTGGACAAGAGGCAAGAGCTGAGAACATGCCCCGTTGCCCCAGAGCTAGAAACAGACTAGACTCTTCCCCGACCCAGATGACTTGGAAGTAAACAAGACCCAGCAGCTCAGTCTACTTGCAACACAAGAGTGAACTTGGGGTACTGGGTCAGGCTGCGACAAGCACTTCACTAGGATGGTTTGCTGGACCCTTAAAAATGTAATCAATAGGTCCAGCCTGTCCAGTACCCTCCATCTTATAAGACTCCCCTTCCCAGTCCTTTTCCATCAGTTCCACATCTCAGCCCTCCCACATCCCCTGCAACTTGTTCCAGGATGCCAGGTCCACACCTCTTAGTATAATTTTGCCTAATCCCCCCCTGCCCACTTTTATCCCAGCTTCCCTCTTTGCTATGCCCTTGGGATGCAGCTTCTCACCATTCTCCATTACAGTCTGGAGAAGTTTCCTCCTCTTTGCTGGAGGGAGTGAGGTCATTGAGGGAGCACAGAAGAGACAGCCTCCCTGCCCCTGGTTTCTATGTTTAGTACCACAACATCCTCAAGAAGCTGAGGGCAGTTGCTGTAGGGGTGACCTGTTCAGGCCCTCCCTCTCTTGGATGGAGCATGCTTATAGTCCACAGAATCTTTGTGGAACATAGCTGCCAAAGTCTAACAAGCCTTGAATGGGCATGTGCAAACTAAGATTTTCCCAAATTGGTCAAATTTAGTTTTCTGATGGAGTGAGTGGGCAGGGGAAGCATAAAATACAAACCCCCTAATACCAGGATGACTTTCAAATGTCAAACTCCTGCTGCAAAACATAGAGAACCTAGAACTTTTCAGTGAAATGATCGCTAGAATCTTTCAACATGGTAATTTCTTTAACAATGTGTTTTTTTCTTTTTTCTGAGCTTGGTTTTCAGAACTGTTTGGGCTGAAATTTTCCATGATGAAGAAGGGGAATGAACTGGAAGCAGGCACCAAATGGTTAAAATTTGACTAATTTATAAGCATCTGAAAACTGGATATAACAATGGGAAGCATCAGACAGCCTTAGTTAATGCTATAGCTATACCTGGCTATCTGCACTGCCTGTAACAATTACTTTAATTCCTGAAGATGCCAGAAGTCCTTTACAGACTATTGTCCCAGTCCTCTGAGATGCTCCTGACTTATATGAGAGGAAGGTGCTTTCAGCATTTGACAAGAGGCATTTATACCTTTGCAGAACTGGGCCCTAGAAAAGGTTTTGAAAAATCATATTGAGGCTACTGAAATGCACTCAGCTCTGAGATGAAACTTAGCAGCTGTTCAGTAGTGCTGGTACGCAGCAGTGCTATAGAAGAATCCAGTGGAGGAAGAATACCATCATATCCAGGGAAAACTGGAGGGAACTTTTAGACAGGCACAATGTAATTATTCAATTTGAAATTTGGCAAATGAGCAGAGCTAACACTCTGCCAAAAGCACCATACATTTTTTAATGATCATAAATGGATCAGGCACTTGATTCTAAGTTCTGTCCAAAAGACAAAGTATAAAAATAAGGCTTTCCATTTGTGGCATCTAAAAAACAGGATGTATCTGAGGAAACTGTGATTCACTCCATGTAACGATAAGTACAGAAGACGTATGCTAGAGAGAAGGGGAGGGGGGACAAATTCTGTTCTCTTACATCTGGTACAATGTCCCTGACTTCACTCGGATTAAGAGCAGAATATGAACCATTCAAATGGTAGGGTGTAACTTTTTATCATATGGCACTGTGTGTCACTGGAGACACACTTAACCTAATTACATTACATTAATACAGCAGAGTTCTCCAAGACACGCTATTATATAACATATATAAAATCTATGAAAATTGACCATTTTTCTAGTACTCCATATTGTAAGTGGAATAATCCTCTGACTCATATGCCACTCTTAGCCTTCTCTTTTTATGGCATTTGTTTTCAACACAAATATTACTGCATTTGATAGGTGTGGGCAAGATGATCCAATTGATCTTTTCCACTTTTAGTTTACTAGATAATTTCCAAGAAAAGATCATTACTATTTTGAGCTGAATTCCACCTTATAGGAATCCCCATCCTCAGAGGTGTATGTGAATTTTCTACCAGGGCCTGGGGGCAGGGGATGTGGAACTGACTCCTAACCCAGGCAGGAATCACATAACAACAGTGCAAACCATGCACCTGTATGGCTACGGGCCCCTGTTGCATTATGGTTATATTTTAGCATGGCCATCTGGTCAAGAATAGGAGCACCAAACTGAACCTTTGGTACAAGGCCTCCAAAAGGCAAACCCTGATGTTGACTCCTGGATTTGACTCAATACTCCAATGCTTCCATGGTTACTATTTATGGTACGTCTATACTTCCTCTAAGACCACTGAAAAGGGGTAAGCCCCACCACTTTGTTCCTACTCTGTACACACTGCAAACTGGAAAAATGGCATGTGACTATGGTTAAGATGGTATCAGGATGTGCCCAGCACTGTTTTGCTGAGGACACTTGAGACTGAGACCCTGAAAGCATCCCTGGGCATGCTTCAAAAAGCGACCACAGGACATATTTCTTCAGGTAAAGCACGATTGGATAGCTAGGTATTATTTCTCAGCAGTGATCTTGGGACTGCAATGGAGGAGGTCTAGATATTTGTTTAAAGGGAGTGTTGTCCAGTGGATAAGATACTCGTCTGTTTGTCAGGATAGCTAGGGCCAAATCCTGTTCTACCTATCAGACACCTAAGTGGATTTCCTAAGGCATCTAACTGCCATATTACTTGAGTTAGCTTCAGTCCCTGGAAATCCATTAAGGCAAAAGGCAAGGGGCCCCTCCTTTATGCTTAAGATTAAGATTCTAATGCTACAGGGCTATATTAATAGGCAAGTCATTTATAAGTTAAGGGAAGTGATTCTTCCACTGCATTTGACACTGGAGTACCGGGTCCAGTTATGGCACCACGCTTCAAGAAAGATGTGGACAAATTAGAAAGAGTCCAGCAGAGAGTAACACAAATTATTAGAGGTCTAGGAAACAATTTACAAGGAAAAACTGGAAGAAGTGGGATTATTTAGTGAGGAGAGGAGTCGGAGGGGGGATTTGATAACAGTCTTCAAGTACCTAAAGGGTGGTTA